AGTAATGACCAGAGTGCAAAAGCATGATCAGAGCAAAGAGCAGAACAGCAGCACTGCAAAGTGATGTCCTGTCAATATAACCTTTGTCCAAAATCCCTAAATACCTTTTCCCAGAGGTGGCCTGGTTCTGTGGCTGGCCAAACAAAGCCAAACGTGAGGATTAACTACAGCACTCTGTTTTCTACAAATTCTGTCAATATGTATTGAAATGTACTAGGTTATTTAAAATAAAAGTGTTTTTGCTAAAAAAAAGATAGAAATATTTCTTAGGGAATGCATTTTCATATAACGTTGCAAAATGCTCATATTGAACATGTTTTATGAACATATGTAAGTCTTTAGGCAGCTCATTTGGCCAAGATCTCAGTTAAATAACGAACAAATGCACATTTGAACCATACTTTATCAATATGCTGTCTTAAAGAATATGTGTGGTGATATTTTAACACAAAAAGCCAAAACCAACAATGGTTTGATCCTACTGGCACATGTTGCCTCTGTAGCCACAGTCTGATGTAGCATTTCCTTTTATCCCTTTTAGAAATGACAGTTTATACTCATGACCTATTTTATAAAGATTTTTCTCTTCAGTAGGAAAAAATAGGCTTGATCCTGAGCACTGAATTGTTGTGAGACATACTAATTCATTGTTGATTTTGGTCTTTTCATTGGATTTGTTGACTAACAAAAATAAAATAATTAAATATTAAGTAATTATTTTTTTAAAGCTGCATAATTTTTTGCCACTCAGAGGCAGCGCAACATTTTTGAAAAGAATGCTAATAGATCACCTGATATGTTTATCATGGTTGAAGTGTTAGCAACTGAATATCTTGAATGTCCAAGTTCAATATTTCATTCCCATTTTAGGCCTGTTTTTTTTTCCAGTCCATTTCTGAGAAATATATCCAGCTCTTTAGCTGCTTAATGCTCCATTATGTTGAGCAGCTGGGTCTGCTGCCACTGGCCAGGTAGCGTTTATCACTGACGACAGCTGCTCATTGCTGCTGGAAAATATATTGTCAGTGCAGAGAAGGATTAAAGCAAACAGCTACATACAATACTATGTAGAATTGATTAGCAAAATGTCTCTTTGTTTTTATTATACAGTATCACATTACTGGTTTTTATCAAAAGGCCATATTGTGAATTGCACTTTGTACTGGTAAAGCCCATTTAAATGGGCACTATATAGAAAGAGAGAGGGAGAGAGGACAACGAGAGAGGGGTCAGTCAGTTCTGAAAGGAGGGAGAGGAGAGAAGAGGCAAATGAGGATCACGCATTGAAATCTGGTATTGACTGAATCCACAGCTACGTGACAGTTTACTTTGTGTTTTTATATGTGTAGTATGTGTTCATGTAGATGAGATAGAAACACCTCTGATGTGATTCGGTGCAGTAGGTACATATAGAAAGTAACCTGGTTGGACATTTTCACTGGTGATTGTTACATAGATTAAGTTGTTTTGTTCTTTTTTTATTTCTTGTAGCCATATCGTGCTACAATGCGTCTTATTTTCTTCTTAGTCCTCTTATTATTCATCTTTTTCATGTCCTTCCTATACTTCTACAGCCACGAGCCCTGGGTGTCCATCTTGCAATTATCAAATCCTGCAGTCTCTTACGGCGACGCCGATTAGGACGCCAGTCTGGGCTCTGTGGCTGCTGTCAGAGTCTCCAGAACAGAGCACTGATTTGTTCCTTTCTCTTGTCCAGACCTCAACAACAGCTTCAGAGGCCACAGGTTAGCTCAGCTTATTTGGCTCATTTGAAGACTGAAGCACATTTAAGAAAAGAGCTTCTTCTGTCTAAGAACTGTTGCTTTGACATTTCCATTTGTTTGTACTGCTCTCCCTGTTGGAGAGCTGCTGAACACACAGGGACTGTTTTAGCTGCAGCCACCTTATGGCAGCACTGATAGCCCATATGGAATTCTGATCTACTCTGTAGTTTATTGTGTAGCATATTTCAGCTGCTGCTTTCTGCAAAAAAGCATAGTTTTGTGAAGCAGAAATGTCTTTTGTGTTTTTTTGTTGTTGTTTTTTTGCTGTTATCATTTCACATTCCCTTAAACACATTCTTACATTATGGAATCAGAGGTGGAGACTCAGGATGGAGGGAGTGCGTAGTAAGCCAGAGACCGTATCAGCCAGTCCTGGAACCCCACTTACAGACACCACAGAGAAGACAAGGGGCCAGACTGATTCTTTCCTTACTGCAGCTCGGCTTGTCCGCAGAGGATGGACGGAGGAGGGGAACGAGACAGGGGGGCAATTTTCCCATTTTGACTGCTACATACATCAACCCTCTCTCTCCAGGTCAGATGAAAATCAGGGTCCAAACCAGGTTGAAAAGGACCCCTGGAGCAGGTGGGATCCTGTTGTGAACAACAGGAAGATCTCTGAGGAGAGAGTGACAGGCATCGTGTATGTGTGGATGCCTGGATGTCGTATCACACGCAGACAGTCCAGGAGATTTAAGGCCCCACTATTACCAGTCATTGCTGAGATATAGGCTAGCTGCCATTTGCACCACAGTGAATTAAAGGCACATGCACATAACACTTGGCTGTGCTTCTTCTTTGTTAGAATAATGGTATTAGAATTTTGCCTATAGTCATATCCATGTTTAAATGGTGGACACTGATGGCATTAATTCGTGTGATTAAAGGAAGAGGTGTGCATATAGTGTCATGTTTATGCTGATTTTGTTCTATTCATTAAAATGCAAATACTTACAAATGTAAATGTGGGTTGGTGTTCTGATCTTGTAAGTACATTTAATTATGGGTACAAGAAAATCATTCCATAGTGATTAAAGGGCTTTGTTAACCTGATGGATATTTGGTGCTGATCCTCTTTGTCACTGCATTATAAAAATATCTCACCCCTTTGATGGATTATGGTTAACTACATAATAGACAGCTTTATAAAGCAGAAATATAATTTTAAGTTACTTGTCATTCCACACCACTGTAAAATCCATGTTTTTAAAATAATGAATGGGCAAAAATTTGGTCAGCTTTGGAAATGGTAGATATAAATTAAAACTTCAAATTTAATACAATTTAAAACTAAAATAATAAGCCGAGGCTATATAGAGTCTAGACAGTTAACAAGTTACCATGTTTGTAAAAAAAAATCCTAAATGGACCAAATATGTTGTTTAACTGGGGCAGCACGGTGGCACAGTGGTTAGCACCGTTGCCTCACAGCGAGAAGGTTCTGGGTTCGGGCCCCACCTGGGACCCTTCTGTGTGGAGTTTGCATGTTCTCTCTGTGCTTGCGTGGGTTCTCTCCGGGTACTCCAGCTTCCTCCCACAGTCCAAAGACATGTAGCTTAGGTTGATTGGTGTCTCTAAATTGCCCATAGGAGTGCGTGTGTGTGGTTGTTCGTCTATGTGTTAGCCCTGCGATGGATTGGCGACCTGTCCAGGGTGTACCCCACCTTCGCCCGATTGCTGGCCGGGATTGGCTCTGTAAATGTTTTTCCTGAAAAGTACTGGCACTGTTGTTATGCTTTGTCTGCTGATTTCAAACACAACCCCACAGTCTTAGGTTTTTCTTTATACTCTTGGGGGTATTTTTTTGCGTGGACGTACCCCACTAAAGGAGTTGCTCTGAGTATCTCCACCTGTCCCCGATGGGGAGGAATTTGTTTTCTTTTTTTCCTCCCTCTGAGGAAGTGCTTTTTACTACAAATATAATATACCTTTGCCACATTTGAGCTTTTGCTGGTGCTGTTTCTACATTTTTATAAGAGCGACAATGCAGTTTGTTTTTTGACCCTTGAGCAATGAACGCTACGTCATTTTCAGGGAAGGAGTTAATGATTGTAATGCTGATCATTACAGCCTTTTTATTTATTCAGATTTTTAGTTATATATTATTGTTTGTATAAAAATAAATGCTGAAATCAATTCACACATTGTACCAACCATAAAAGTTGCATCTAGTCATGCACTGCACACCTGACCTGCTGCCCTCCTGCTCAGACAAGCTGCTCAGCCTCCAGTGAAGCAGCAGCATCAGAATCCTCTGTCTGTAAAGACAAGTGAAACCGTTTCCCCACTTTGATAACAGTGATGAAAACTGTTTATTACAGTACCGGAGCATAAGCAAAGCGAGGTTTCATAAATACGGTAATTATGTATAGTTTCATATGCGTTTACTTGATCTGAGAATTTCAGTTTTTTTGAAACGCCTACTCTGTGGAGGATGACAATAGCAATACATACAGTCATGGCCAACAATATTAATACCAAAGAATTTGTGATTGCAATGATTTTCTGGGAGAAGTGGTGTGTTATTTGACAGAAATGCAAGGGTGCCAGTAATATTGGCAATGACTAAGTGTATTGCCAAACACAGAAATTAATTAATAAAAGTATACAGAAATACATATTGCATAAACAAAAACTGACAACAAAAATAACTGACAAAATAAATTCAGAAATAAATAAATTGAGAAACAAGAAATAAATGCAGAAAGAATTCTGGCCTAAGGTGTATGCAGGCAATATCAAAACAACGGGAAGTTAGCTGTGGTGGTTTGGCTATTAACGTGTAAAAGTAAGGCAGGAAAATTTTGAAAAATAGGTGAACTAAATATCAAAATACTATATATTTCACTTTTTCCATTGACAGTTCACTGAATGGTGCTGTAAGATTTTTCTCTTCTCGGTACACACGGCAGAGGGCGCTGCTTTACATGCTTTGCACAGCCAAGATTAATTGAAGGAGCACACTGGTTTATCTGTTAAAAACAACTTGTTTATTTGGCATCTACATTTCAGTTTGTTATTTCACAATTAAAGGAAAGCTGAACTTAAACATTAAGAGATGGCAGTACAGGGAATTTATATCCTATAAACAAGAAAACAACAGGAAAGAAGACTGCAAAAATTGTCGTATCAAGGTTCGGTGAGTGCAAAATAAAAATCTTGATACCAACTCTGAAGGTTGATGCGCATTTATTTCTGCAGAAAGGAGCGAACTCTCACAGAGTGTCAAACATAACAGGCTGTAGGAGCTGCATTTCCTTTTTGGTTTCATTGTTCGTTTTCGTTCATTATCTCTATTTACTTGTAAATAACCTGGCTGTCATGATACATCAACAAAATCAGTTAAGGTCATATGTAACTGTTAGGAAACGTCTGTCACACAGGAAAGAAGCTGTAGTGTTTCTCACTAAAGACACTGACACAGAAGTTTGTCTGGTTTCACAGACACACACATGACTAAAAAGCTGCAGTGGCTACGATGCTGATAAAGATGCTAATATTTTTCATCACACTTTGCCATCACTATGAAATGCTTACTGAAGTCACTTGTAAATGTCTAGAGCAGATGACAGTAGTTGACTACCACAGAAAAGAAAAAACACATTAACCACGTGGACTTAATGAAACTACAGTTAACAGCTTACCAAGCCTCAGAAACCAAAAGGATGAAGGCAAAGCATATGAAAAAGTGCATCTATAAGCAAAAAGATTCACATTAATGTACAGTGACAGCAGAAATTAGAGGAGCAGGACTAGGGACAGAAGTGCAACTGTACAGGGAGATGCTCGAGTTTTCATCTGAAATGCAATGACATCAACTATTCAAATGTTTGCCTCTCAATAAACAATACATTTCTGGTTAAAAAAATAAAAAAAACAGTAGAGATGCTTTGCCCAAGCTCTGATTCAGACCCAGAAAACAACCAGCCCTATGGGTGCCAGTTGGCAGACAGACAAAACCCATATTTCAAGGAGCATCTCACACACACACTGTCAAATCCAGGCTCATTATCTCTATTTGCTTGTAAATAACCTGGATGCCATGATATGTCAATAAAAAATATGCATGTTTTACATCAATGGACATTATTAGTTAAGAAAAATTACAGAGTAAATGCTGTATTCAAGCCATGCTGATAATTTCTCTGTGTATCAGAAATGGAGCTTGTTCATGCTTTCTCCATTTACTCCACTGTTTGGAGAAAACTTGTATAGCTGGTACACATGCATCAGTACAACAGAATAAAAGTTCTAATGCCCTTAAAGATGTTCTTTATTGTGATTAAGCAGTGATGCAGACTGGATTTGTCCTTCTGGAAACAATATACAGCGACACAGTTGTTAAAATTTGAACAGCAAACAAGAAAGTCTTGTCAAAGCTATGATACATATGGTGATAAATTTCTTCTCATTGATTTTTGTCATGCATATGAAGGTTAACAGCCTAGCCAACTAGCTTATAGCAACAGGTTTATATGACCAGTTTGACCGTGAGGGGTCAGCTTTAAGCTACAGTACTACAAAGTCTTAGGCCACCATCAGTTTAGCTGTTTTAGCAAGGTTGTAAGGATAATTTATATTTATTTCTCAGTCTCTTTATTAAGATATAATCAGAAAATACAGGAAATATGTACACAATGTAAAAAAGCCACTAAATTGTCAGAACCAAATGGCTTCTGCAGTCCAAAGTCAGTATTTCATGTGACCGCCACACAGCTTGAATTCTTTTGGGGATGCTGTTTTGAAACCATGACAGACCCTCCACCATGTTTGAGTGATGGCCGCTTTCTTCCACCTCTCCAGCTCTTCTTCTCTTACACTGTCAACAACTGGACCCAAACCTTTCTAACCTTTTTTTAATGCTGAATCAGTCACTTAATTTATACAAGAGCAGTGCAATCATAAGACTATATTGATCCCTGGTGGGAAATCCACATGCTATCAAACCATATGTTAAGTACTTCAAATTATAAGTATATAAGGTATTTAAAATGATCTCCAAGTTTACTGGATGCAATATTAAAGTGATGAATTAATACATCAATAATCCGCATGATCCAATAATATAAATCATTGTGACGTGCAATTCTGCATAATGAGTATTTTTACTTTTGGTACTTCATATACATTTTGATGCTAATACTTCTCACTTAAGTAAAATTTTGAGTGCAAGACTTACTTGTAATAGAGTATTTTTACACTGGTACTGTTACTTAGAGAATCTGATTACTTCTTCCACCACCAATGTTGACATTACATAGTGTAGTAGTGACTAAAAACATGCTTTAAACCAAATTTATGAGGGCAACTGTAGCACGGAGCAACTGCAACAGATGATGTTCCTCTAAGAGGCCATAGGAATGTTTCTGCTCCGCACGGCTGAGTCAGATGATCACACCAAAGACTATGTACCAAGGAGTTATTGCTATAATATATTATTATTAAAAGGATTATAAAAAGATTATTAGGAATAGGGTGTTAACAGGGTTGATTGTGTGGGTATATTTACTGTATTTTGTGGGTATCTACTGTAGTGACACTGTTAGATCATACAGGCGGTATTGTCCTAATAAACAGGTTCAGTCAGGTGTGTAAGTAGGATTACATGCATTACATAGAGAAATTCATTGTGACAGGGCAGCTGCCTCTTTCTCTCTGACGACTTTACACACTGCACAGGTTTGTTAAGCTGTCCAACATTTTAGTGAAATCCTCTCCAGAGTCAGATGAGAAGATGGGTTTTCAGGCTTAGGCATTAAAAAAAAAAAACAACAACTTATATTTGTAACATCAGCTAACTAGCTTTCTCAGCTTAGCTTAGCCAATTCAATATGTGTTAGCTATTATCTCAGTTTCACCTGTGTGCGTCTAGTACACAGAAGTCCAGGGTATGTTTGGCCTAGATTTACACAAAGAGTGGAATTGGGGGAGAAACTGCCATTTTAGCTTCACCAGAAGAGAACAACACGCTTTCCAGTGACCTCAGTGCCATCTGATGTTGTATCTTAACGGTCTACTCTTGTGGGTCTTTGTCCCTACAAGAACTTTACAACCTATAACCTGACCTTTTCAGAACCTGTATGTCTTTAATTTTAGGTTCTGTCTTCATTGTGTTTTACAAACCAGAATGATATAAGTCACTTTGGTAACACTTTATAATAAGGGTACAAATCATATGTTCAACTAATGCCTGACTCCTGCTGGTTTCATGCATGAATTATTGCAGGATGTATCATGAATTCCTGTTACTCACTATTAACAAATAATCAAGTCTCAAGTGCTTTAGAAAATGTTTGGCAGTAATGTTAAGTGTACACAATGTTGTTTGCTAAAACTCTGAAGAACAGTGGTATGGTCCTTTAACGGCTGAGATTACGATTGATGATTATCAGTGGAATGTCCTCATAATGATATGTATGTTTGTACAGCAGGGACATCTATCAGTTGACTGGACTCCAGTGTGTGTATAGACTATGACATGTGGGTATTCCAGTGTGTGATACAGCATGTAATATTCATATCGAGTCAGAGCGGGTTTTTGTTTGGCAGTGAGTATGATGTTTCATGCGCATGTCCTTGTCTATATAAGCGCTTCATGCAGGGCTCTGCTTTGCATCGTGTGTGTGCAGGCTTTGCATCACTGCTTTACTCCATCAGCGCTCAGGTTAACCAGCTTCCGTCGGGGTGCAATTAAGCTTACTGAGCCCAGGCAGCGTGACACGTCCATGTGTGTAGATGTCACGGTCAGAGCCCTGGTTCATCCGTTTGACCAGGTTCTTCTCATAAAGCAGTGGGTGGTAGGCGCCAAGTGTGCAGGCGGCGTCGTAGAAACGCTGGTAGTAATGGCAGAGCTCTGTCTTTCTCCGGGATGGCAAGAATTCGTAAACGTGCACCACCTCGCACAGTGACATCATCAGGACAGTACCTGGGCATGATGCAAAGGAGATTTAATCTGTCTGACACAAAACTGTTTCAGTGCACTGAGGTTTGTTGGTGCTCTACTGACATAAATTGTGGTACTATGCTGAGGATTTTGTTAGATGGTTCACCATATTATCCTTACTGTCTTGTATTTTTATCAATATGATTAAAATGAAACAAAAAATGTTCCCATGCAGTTAACAGCCAGGAATAATAAAAGTAAACAGTTAACTAGGACAGCCTACAGTGGTGTTATGAGAAAATATAACTGAGTAATCAGGAGGTGGAGACAGCTGACTTACCGAGAAATCCGGAGGAGGGTGGATTCTTCTGGATCAATTCAGCCATGTTGTCTTGTATTCTTTGCCAGACCTGCCACTCAAAACGAGGATGTAGGATGTAGAAAGGCTGCAGAGGATGAAGCCTTCTGTATTTCTGGTACTGGGTAAATATGGGATAGTCTGTCCTGTTGTACCACTGTAGAAGGGATGTATATTATTGTTAAGACTGTAACCTTCACTCAGAACAGAGGTTTTAAAACTGGGAGTTGAAGGGGAGAGACATGAGACAAGGACGCTGCCTGAGGTGAAATATGCAACTGGAGTCAAAAATCATACTCCTCTGTCCATTCAGAACACACAGGCATGAAACACATTTTTAGATTCAGTGTGACTTTCACTTTCTGAGGATATCATTATGTCCATTGTCTTGATGATGCTGTTGATGAATTAACTACTAAGAATCCACTAACTCCAGAGCCTGCCTGAGAGTCATCAGGGTTTTTAAGTTTTCTTCAGTATCAAAGTAAACCAGTTATATTTGTCTGTACATCCATGGGTTCACTGCAGTCAGGAACTGTTAATAGCTAATTTGGCATAAATGAAGATATGCTCTATGTCATGTAGCCCTATGTGCTCCACCTGTTTTGCACAGATGAAATTTCTGCTATGACTCAGTCATTAGTCTGCACCATTAGTGATTGGGAAAAATGGCACAAAGGTTTTTGTCAATGACATTCAGTACACGCTATAATAAGTACAACCCTTGTTTTCTGTAGGTATAATACACAAATGTCACCTCATTGAGGTCAGCAGAGAAGGGGGCAGGGTCCCAGGCCACAAGAACACCTGAGCTGTACAGAGAACTGGAGAGGAAACGATGTTCATCAGTCGCCATCACCTGTAAGACAGACATATTTATTTTATGTATCACCTATATCTATTATCTAAGCATCTTTTCTTTTGTGAACCTCTCCAATGTGTGCCTCAATTTCACACTCATTGAAACTGTGCTCTTCTTTAGCGGTGCTTTCATTGCCGTGTCTGGTGGTTCAGACAGCATTTTTATATGCAAATGATTGATTAATGGGATCAAAGTGACAAAACTGAAGTCACACTTGAAAACAGTTATGTGGGTAAAATACTCTGTATTCCATTTAAATATAAATCCACAAATGGTTTCTCATGGTGACTAATGGAGATGATTCACACTCAAGAAGTATTCAAGCCTTTGTGCCACATTTTTGCAAGGTTTGTTGTAGTGAGTTGCTTTCACTGCAAAGCTTTACATCTAAAAAGAAACACAAGCCACTCAAACGTTCACAAACAGCTCAAAATTTGTCATTAGTTTCTATTATCATTCATCTTGATCGTCTCAATATAAAGCCTCTACAGTAAGAACATGAGAAACCTGGTGTAGGTCTGACACACCCACACAGACAGCTTTTGTTTTTACCTGTGAGTTGATGAGCCGGATGGTGGTTTTAGAACCAACATCTTTCTCGTAGCCGACGGTGGGTGCAGCATTGAAACGCAGCACAGCTTCATGTGAGTCTGTAATTTGTAAAAGAAAACATTTTGGTAAATATCTCCCCAGGTGTTTCCCTTCAGTGGCACCCCAAATAGTTCTGATTTTGCTAGAAAAGTCTTTAATTAAATACTGTTTCAGCCAGTATGGCAAAATTAAGTGTTATAGAAAAAAGAATGCACCACCACCAAAAAACATGCAGTTGTCAGTCTTGTTTTAATAAATGGAAAAGGTCAAACGGGAAATAATCAACCTCTTGCAGAGTTGCCTGCAAGTTTTCTGCTTAACAATTTCACAATAAGCCAGAATTATTTTGGAAATTACATATTAATTCATGGTAAGGTAGTGATGTATAAGCAATTATAATATTGCATGTATACCACAAGCACCAAACCAGTCACTGCTAAATATCACTGCTTTCAAATCTGACATCGTCTAAACTTAAGCTGTTGACAGAGCTCACAGTCCAGTACTCAATCATATATGCGTTTTAAATTCAAGCATAGAGAGACACTTTGGATCACAGCTCGGTATATAAAGCACGAATAAACCACAAGCTGTCTCCCACTGACTTATCTGTCAATGTACAGTGGGTTTGCTTTGTTTCTTTGTTTTTTAATGAATGGAACTGTTGTTTTGGACATCATCGTTTGAAAAGGCCTGGATTCAAGCGCATAAACATAGTAAGAATTCTTGACTGACAAAACACACTCCTCTATTCATTCTGTTGTTTCTTTGTTATAAGAGACAAAACTGCCACATTGTCCATCATGTTCTTATACAGGGAACCTTGGTTATATGTTATTTAAACAACCATGCAAAACTATCCCACCTATCTCTTTGCCCAGTCCAGAGTTGCGGAGTGACCCTGCAGATGACACCACAGCACAGCTCTTGTAAGGCCCGATTTCAGAGGTCAGGGGCTTCGGTGGCAGCTGGGTGGCCCAGGGCAATGACGAGAAGGGTTGGAGATCGGGGGTCAAAGTCATGACCTCTACCTTCTCCTTCAGTTGACAGAGCAGCTCAGGCCCACTCAACTTTGGCCTACCAGACACGCCGCCAGGACCAGAAACCTTAACTCCATATTTATTCATTGTCTGATGGAAATAAAGGTAAAACAGGGATATGAGACAGATCAGAGCAAATGAAAAAATTATTTGTTCAAGAATAACCTCTGAATAGACAGATATAAAAATTTGCCACAGATTTAGGACACTTTACCTTTTCACTAGCACCTTTATTGGCCTGAGTTAAAGATACTGTGTGAAAACAATTAATGTCAGCTTCTTCCTACTTGGGTGGCTGTGGCTCATGAGGTAGGGCAGTCGTCTCCTGACCAGCAAGTTGGTGGTTCGACTCCCGGTCTCCCTGCATGCCTAAGTGTCCCTGAGCAAGACACTGAACCCCGAATTGCTCCTGGTGGCTTGACTAGCGCCGGTGCATGGCAGCTTGTCGTCATCAGTGTGTGAATGTTGTGTGTGAATGGGTGAATGGTGTATCATCTCTGTAAAGCGCTTTGGCCAGTGCAACACACTGTGAGAAAGCGCTATATAAAATACAGTCCATTTACTTGTAACAATTGTTCTGGTTGCTGGAGTTTATCTATTATTATAATTTTTTCCCTCTCTGACATCCCCTCCAGGGAATCTTGTAGCTCGTTCTGTAACGGTGGGGCTCAAGGGAACCTGAAGAGTTGACTTTCTCGTAACATAAAAGCAATTATACTTGTCTTCCATGAGTTGGAGTTAGGAATGAGAATTTGCTGCTTATTTAAAATGCACCATTTAGAAGAGGCATTTCTTTACATTCACAGGACAGTAGAAACCTTTCTTCTATGGTTGAGAGCTGCTCATTCTCAGAAGGATTCATGAAAGAACTCAGTGTGAAGTACCATCTGAGTTCATTGTAATTCATGTCAGCATGGAGAAAACACCACAGCATGGCAATGTCTTTTTCCTGTATTTTCCGGCTCCTACTATTCTTCCTGTTTAGAATAAGTCGGGACAAGATCCCAACCCTATTGCTTTTTTATCTAAGGAAAACAGATACATACTCCCCCCTCATTCATAACTTCCCTGTTTGTGTTTGTACCCGCAGGCAGAGGTGGAAAGAGTAATAAAATTTTGCACTCAAGTAAAAGTACTGTTACTTCAGTGAAGTTTTACTGAAGTACAAGTAAAGTTACCAGGCTAAAAATCTACTCAAGTAAAAGTAACACATTAAAAACTTACTCTGGGTAAAAGTAACTGAGTTACTTTTTTTAAACAGCAGGGATTCTAGTATAGTTCAAAAAGAGACAAAGGGATATAAATCTCAGGACTGTTTTTAATTTAGGGAACACCTTTACAAATTAAAGTGCAATAATAGAATTTAATTTAAAAAAAAAAGAATAAAAACATACATTTTAAACATTAAGGGAGATAGTAATTCCAGTGCAGATCATCCCGTAAAACATTTTAAACAATACAACTTTTGAATATTGCATAAACTGTGCATTCAGTAGAGCAGCCTAGTGATAGTTCAGTAGTTTAAGTGGGTGTGTAAGAGGTATTTATGCCTATCTAGTGTATTCACTGCAGCAGACAGTGCTCAGCACTCTCC